TTCTGGTCTTCATCTATCACGGCTGATTCTTCAGCTCCAGCTGACCAGAACCACAGGTCCTGCACATAAATGGCCCAGTAGGACTTAGCTCCCCTCTGACACTTCACAAGCCAGGCCTCCAGCCTCTGTGCGGCTCTCAACCTTCTCATCTTCCAGGATCCTACAGAACATCTCACTACTGAACACTCGATGACTTTTCTAGCCCAAAGTTCCAAAGTTCTTGCACAGTCCTCTCCAAAACAACATGGCCAGGTCTGTCGCAACAATATCCCACTATCCCTGTACCAACTTGTCTTAGGTTAGGGTTTCTACTGCTGTGATTAAATACCATGACCAAAAGCAACTTGAGGAGGAAAGGCTTACAAATCTATATCACTGTTTATCACTGAAGGAAGTCAGGACAGGAGCTTAAACAGGGCAGGAACCTGGAGGCAGGAGCTGATGCAGAGATGATGGAGGGATGTTGCTTTCTGGCTTGCTCCTCACGGCTTGCTCTGACTGCTTTCTTATAGAACCCAGAACCACCAGCCCAGGATGGGCCCACCCACAATGGGATGGCCCCTCCTCTCTCAATCACTAATTAAGAAAATGCCCTACAGTCCTGCCTATAAGTCCAATCTTATCGAGGTATTTTCTCAACTGAGGCTCCCGCCTTTCCAGTGACCCTAGTCTGTATCAAGTTGATAGAAAACTAACCAGCGCAATGGTCACATGTCAAAAGCTACTTTATTCCACAAAGCTCCATCAGGCCGTCATTATGGTGCGCTCTGTCAATGCTCCACAGTGACATCACAATACACCATTGTGACAGTACACTATTGCAGGCACTGGTAGTAGTTTTATGTCAACTGACACAAGCTATCATCATCAGAGAGGGGGGGCCTCAATTGAGAAACTGCCCCTGCATCAGCTCCGGCCTCCTGTTTCCTGCCCCATTTCAATTGCTGCCCTGTCTTCTTCTGATGATGAACGGTGTTGTGGATGCATAAGCAAAATAAACTCTTTGCTCCCTAAGTTGCTCTGCTCAAAGTTTCATCACAGCAAGGGTAACGAGGCATGCTGTGACCCTCTGGTGACCGAGTGTGTTACTGCAGTGCTCTATTTTGTCACCACAATGTTGTTTATGATGTCACAGTGATGAATTTTGACATCACTTAGCTGCAGTGTCTCTAATAAAGTCCTATTATGCCACGACAGTATTCTTTGGCCATCACAGTACTCCCTTTTGCTGTAATAATGCATAATTATGACATCATAATGTTTCATTACGTCATCTTTTGCTAAATTATTCCATATCGATGCTCCTTTGTGCTAGCACTTAACAGTGACATAACACTGTAAACTTGTTCTGCCCCAGGGCTGAGATTTGACATTACACTATAATATTATTACGTCTTCACAAGCCAGAATTGTGGCATCCGTGCTGCAATCTGTGTCGTCACCGTGCTCCACTGCACCACCTGTAGGTCACAGGTCCCATCACAAGGCTCCGGCTTGCTATCACAGTGATGACATGTGTTCCAGATGTTTGACTCTTCCATCACTACAATCTCTAGAGCCACTGCAGTGCTACACTGTGGCCTCAGGGTCCTAAACTGCAGCGTCAAGATGTTTTACATGCCGACCTGGGTCATCTCAGTTCACACCTGGGATGCAACAACACTCCATGAGATGTCATGGTCCTCCAGGGTAGTGTCGAACTGCCCAGTGCTCCATGATGACATCACAATGCTGAACTTTGACCCTGCAATAATCAATTGTGTAACATAGTGCCAAACTGTGGCTTGACAATGCTATACTGTGCCACGCACTCTGGGTGCCAGGACAATGCTGGAATTTCATGACACAGTGCTGGACCGAGGCTTGACAATGCTATCCTGTGCCATCATGGATTTTGATGACACAACGCCCAACTGTAAACCTCACAATGCTGTATTTGATCACAATGCCTCACTGCTCCATGAAAATGCCCTCTGTGCCATCATATAGCTCACTTGTGAAAGAACAGGAACACAACTTAGGGGCACTCCCACTCCAGCCAGTATAGCACCCTGTCTCCTGTAAACTCCATTATACCCTTTACAGTGGCTAACCATTTCAGCTTCCCAAAGCCAACTTCCTTAATTCAACACCACTAATACCATTCCTGCGCATCCTATTCAATTATTAACACTGCCCCACTCCCTTTGACCAGTTCACTCCCCAGCCCTGATAAAAAAAAAACCCAGCCTGAAAGAGAAATGTGTGCCCTCACACCTGATGAGAACCCATCTCAAGTTTCCAACATGAATCTGTGTTCACAGCCAAGCTGCCTCTTTGCCTTTCTCTTCCTCTTCCACCTTGGGCTATCACAGCGCTGTTCTGTGATGTGATGATGATGAAGGTCTCTGCTGTGACATGCTGGTCACCTTATGACAGACAGCAATGCTGAGCTGCAGCGGCAGCATTCTGGACTGTGGCTTCACGCTGCTCCATTTGGCCGGGAAAAAACATCGGAATGTGACGTCACGGTGTTGCTAGATTGTGACATTACAACATCCCATTGTGCCATTGCCACAGTTTATGTTTCCCGAATAAAGCTGGATTGTGCAATCACAATGTTCTGTTTTTGTCATGACAATACTGAACTATAACAAAATTCTGGATTGTGACACCACCATGATGTACTGTGACATCACAAAGACTCATTGTGACATCACAATGTTGAATTATAACATCACAGTGTTGTATTGTGACAGGACAGTTTTCCATTGTGTTGGCAGATTTTCCACGGTTGCAATGTCCCACTGTAATATGCTGAACTCTGGCATCACAACTCTCCATTGGTGGTGCGACATAATGCCAAATATTAATATCACAGTGCTCCTCTTGTACATGACAATTCTCCATGACATCACAGAATTGAAATGAGGAACTGAAATATTCTATTGTGTATGATAAAGCTCCATTGCATCATCACAATGCACGATGTCAGGTTACCGAGCTCAGTTGACATCGTCTTATTGCTATGAAGAACCTGATCACGGCTGCTTGGTTTTGTTGTTTGGGTTTTTGTTTTGTTTTGTTTTGTTTGCAGGAATGTAGAAGACTTCGGAACTTTGGACTAGATAAGTGGTTGAATACTGCATGAAGACCCCAACAGTTTTAGGAGCCTAGAAGACAGAAGTGTTGAGAAAAATGGAGACAGTAGAGACTCAGCTTGTGACTTGCGGGGGGGAGGTGTGACAAGAACTCTATTGGCAATTGGGCTGGCAGCTATTGGTATGATATCTTGGTAAAGAATCTGACCACTCTGTCCATACTCTGATAATCTGTGTGAGGCCACGTTAGAGAGGAATGGCCTAATTCCTTTTGCACAGGAAATTACAAGACAACATGGCGTTGAATCTAAGTGTGGCCATTACTGAACCATATCTGCCTGCATGCCACCATGCTTCCCAGCATGATGACAATGGACTAAATCTCTGAACTGTAAGCCAGCCCCAATTAACTGTTTTCCTTTATAAGAGTTCCTGGGGTGCTCGCTTCGGCAGCACATATACTAAAATTGGAACGATACAGAGAAGATTAGCATGGCCCCTGCACAAGGATGACACGCAAATTCATGAAGCCTTCCATATTTTTGCCAAGTGTGTCCGTGACGGGATCAAGCGGGCTTTCCTTATTGAGGAGCAGAAAAATGTTGTGAAAGTGTTGAAGGCACAAGCGCAGAGTCAGAAAGCGAAATAAACGTGCGGCTTTTTTAATAAAGAAAAGAAAGAGTTCCTGGGGTCATGTGTCTCTTTACAACAATAAAGCCCTAAGATGGGATATTAGGAATATTATAGAGAAATGACCGTCTCTGCCTCAGACAGAGGAAGAGGACCCTTGGGGAGACCACCACTCCAATCTGTGGAGTTTTCTGACCCCCGAAAGCACAGAAAAGCTGCTCCAATTGTAGTCGAAGTGGCGAAGACTCCATCCCAAGCTGGTAGCTGAACTTGGCCATGTCATCCATGTGGTACTGCTTTTAAAGACTGGTGATGCAATATTCTGAAAATATCTCTTACATTCCTAGAGACTGGTACTTTTTCTGGACCTCACAGCCAGAGTTAATAATATACCTTGAAGTCACTTAAGACTGAGAGCCTACAGTGCACTAAAACTGTTTGTTTAACCTGCCTTATAGGGAAAAATTTAACAATCACCCTTACTTGCCTGGGATTTCCTGTGCAATCAACGTTTACAATAGCAGCTAAATGCATAGCTGTAACTGTAAGTTAATGTACTCTGTAGAGCCACTGACACAGATAACGCATGTGTATCATTTGCCGAAATCAGCAAACAGAAGTAGAAAGCAACTTCCTAAAAGCTACCAGAGAGGTGCACACGGGTGGAACTCAACAGGAACTGATGCAGAGGCCACAGAGGATGCCGCTTACTGACTTGTTGTCCATGGCTTGGTGGTCTGCTTTCTCTTTTTCTCTCCTTTACTTTTTATTTGACAGGGCTCTCTGTGTAGCACTGGCTGTCCTGGAACTTACCCTGTAGACCAGGCTGGCCTTGAACTCAGCCTGCTTTCTAATAACACCCAGGACCACCATTCTAGAGGTGGCACTGTCCAGTGTGCTAGCCCCTCCCACATCAGTCACCAATCAAGTAAACATCGTACACAGGCCAGTCTGGTGGGGACATTCTCTGAACTAGGCTCCCTCTTCCCTGGTGATGGTAGCTTGTGTCAAGTTGACAAAGACTAGCCAACACAACTCTATTCTTTCAACTGTTATTAAAGCTTCTCCATAACCTTAGCATACCCTCAGGGAGGACCCCACACACCAGACAGGTGCCACTCCACACCCCCTACAAGAAGACTGCCATCCTGTATCTTCCCCCACTGACAGCTCCGGCTCCGGTCCTCACCTTAGTTACACATCTCACTACCCTCAACATTGTCCATCTCCGCCACTACCACACAGGCCCTGCAGAGGCAAACCACCATGTCCAAATGCTCTCTGCACACACACACACACAATACACACATACACTATTCACACACACATGTATTTATTTATTAAAATACTTCATTTGTATTTTAATAAATAAAGCTTACCTGAAGATCAGAGGGTAAAACAGTCCCACTCATCAGCCTTACAAACCAGGCAATGACACACACCTTTAATCCCAGTAGTCATGATAGTTTGCCATAAAACGCAGGTGGTAGTTGTGCACGCCTTTAATCCCAGCCCTAGAGAGGAATATAAGATGGGAGGAGACAGTTCTCAGACAGTCTCATTCTGAGGATTCCTGGAGGCAGGATTGCCATTCTGGACTGAGGTGGAGGTAAGAGCCAGTGATTGGCTGCTTTGCTTTGCAAAGTCTTTGCAGGTCTTCATGTTGAACCCCAATTTCTCTGAGGTTTTATTATTCACACATTTGGCACCTTCAGGCTTCATGCACACATACATGCACGCATGCACACTTTGATTGTCTCATTCTCCCTATCAGGCAGGATACATTACTCCTCCCAAAAGCACCCTTGGTTTTGTTATAGTCTGCCAGCTTTGTTGTGTGATGTTTTACTAATTTGGTTTTTGGGGGACCCACCATCCAGCTCCCAAATAAACCATACATGGAGGCTTATTCTTACTTATAAATGTCCAACCTTAGTTTGTTTTGTTTCTTGATAGCTTTTCTTAAATTATCCTGACTACCCTTTGCCTGTGGGTTTTTATCTTTCTCTATTTCTGTATACCTTTCTTTACTTCTTCTCTGTGGCTTGCTGTGTAGCTCAGTGGCAGTGTAGCTGGGTGGCTGGCCCCTGATGTCTACTTCTCCTTGTTCTCATTCCCCACTGTCCCTTGGTTCTCCTATTTATTCTCTCTGCCTGCCAGCCCTGCCTATCCTTGCTCCTGCCTCACTATTGGCCATTCAAGACTTTATAACTTCTTTATAATTTCCTTTTATTCTTAATTACTGCCCACAAACATATGGTATTTCTGTAGTGCTACTCCTAAAGCTTATCATTAGATTGTGATTTGTATGTTGCCATCAACACCAATGAATACCAACACTTCTGTGTCCTTTGTACAACTAAGGGGTGATGTGTGAATAAAACCCATATGATAAAAACAATATAAATAACTTACAATTCAGAAAGCTATAACATATCCCACATAATTTCTGGGTAAGTGCAAAAAGAACGGATTAAAGGAGAATCTTCAAATTTATACATAGGTTTGAAGGATAAGGACACTGAGAACAGGGATTACCAGCCTTTCACTATTCCTCAACAAAATACCACTAAGATTTGTTACGTAATACTCCAATAAGGCGGTCTAATCTCGGTGACAAAATAAGATGCCAAGCATACGTATTAGAGATGACAAGACCGATGCGCTCCATGTGTGCACTCGAATAAAGTTTGTACATAATACACAGTTTTTCAAAATCTATTTTATGCTCTCTGGAGAAAAGTTAAAAACTTCTCAGAAAGCAGGCTAAAATGGCCCACGGCCGAGCTTTGCACAGTTTTTAACAGTGAAGTTATTCAGTAGATTTGGATGTATGACAAACTCCATCTTTTCAGAGATGAGGTCAAATAACTGTGACACCTGTGGCGTATTTCTTTCCACCCCATTGGTTAATGATAAGCAGAAGTCCAAAATTTTGCCACATTCCACATACTCTTAAGATTTCTGTCCTGTGCTAACTCTTTACATACATCAAGATTTCTTGAGGTATGGGCTGTCTTCTAAAAATCCATCTGAGGTATTAGAGAAAGTGTTGTTAATATTTTTATTTAGTGAGGGGATTTCCAGGACAGCACTAGACTCCTCTGAGGGCTACACATAGGACAGCGCTCTTTTCAATATGAATTTTCTGCTGAGACTCAAGGCCAGGCCATATTATGGCGTCTGTAAGCTGCTCTCCTCTGTGGACTGTTTAGTACAGAGTAGCTGCTACACACCTGTTACAGGTTTCGGCACACTTCACACTTGGAGTGTCTCCCTCACGTATGAGCCTTTTGGTGTGAGCTAGTGACCCTGCAGTTATTCAAGTCCTGAACTGTATATGTGGGGTGCTTCCCCTTTATGAAACACCTACTGACAAATTCTTACTATTGAGGCTTCGCCAAATTCTATACACTGCTGGGTTTCGCTAACATGAGTTTCCTGGTGCCGTTTCAGGCTGGAAGAAGTAATAAAGGCTTTGCCGCACTCCCTACAGCGATGGGATTTCTCTCGGGTATGGATTCTCTGGTGCCGATTGAGCTGGAAGGAAAAGTAATAGGCTTTGCCACACTCCTTACATCTGTAAACTCTATCTCCGGTATGAATCCTCTGGTGCTTAGTAAGGTATGCAGCACAGTTAAAAGCCTTGCCACACTCCTTACACACATAGGGCTTTTCTACAACATGGACTCCCTGATGCTTATTGAGATATGAGGAACAGTTGAAGGCTTTGCCACACTCTTGACATATGTAGGGTTTCTCTCCCGTATGGATTCTCTGATGTCGGTTAAGCTGTGAAGAAAAGTAGTAGGCTTTGCCACATTCTCTGCATTTATACAGTCTGTCGCCAACATGAATTCTGTGGTGTTTAGAAAGATAGGACGAACAATTAAAGGCTTTGCCACACTCTTTACACACGTAGGGCTTCTCTCCAGTATGAACTCTCTGATGCTTAGTAAGGTATGAAGTACAGTTGAAGGCTTTGCCACATTCTTTACATATGTAGGGTTTCTCTCCACTGTGAATTCTCTGGTGTCGAACAAGCTGCGAAGAACATTTGAAGGATTTACCACACTCTTTGCATCTATAGGGAATCTCTTCGAAATGAATTTTCATATGCTGGATCAAGTATGAGGAACAGTAAAAGGCTTTGCCACACTCTTGACATTTGTAGGATTTCTCTCCTGTGTGGATTATCTGGTGTCGAGTAAGTGTTGAGCTATTATTGAAGGCTTTGCCACATTCCTGACATTTGTAGGGTTTCGCTCCAGTATGAAGTATTTGGTGTCGAGTCAGGTTTGAGTGGTATTTGAAGGTTTTGCCACACTCTTTACATAGATAAGGCTCCTCTCCAGTATGGATTCTCTGGTGTCGAATCAGCTGTGAGGAAAGCCTAAAGGGTTTACCACACTCTTTGCATCTATAGGGCATCTCTTCAAAATGAATTTTCATATGCTGGATCAAAAATGAAGAACAGTAAAAGGCTTTGCCACACTCTTGACATTTGTAGGGTTTCTCTCCTGTGTGGATTATCTGGTGTCGACTGAGAGTTGAGCTATTATTGAAGGCTTTGCCGCATTCCTGACATTTGTAGGGCTTTGCCCCAGTATGAACAATTTGGTGTCGAGTCAGGGTTGACTGATATCTGAAGGCTTTCCCACATTCTTTACATTTATAGGGTTTCTCGCCAGTGTGAATGACCTGGTGTTGGGTAAGAGATGAATGTTTACTAAAGGTCTTGCCACATTCCTTACACTCGTGCGGTTTCTCTCCTTTATGAATTATCTGATGTTGACTAAGGGTGTGCCTTCTCTTGAAGGCTTTGCCACATTCCTGACATCTGTAGGGCTTTGCTTCAGTATGAATGACTTCATGCTGAGTGAGGGTTGAATTATATTTAAAGGATCTGCCACAGTCTTTACATTTGTAGGGTTTCTCTCCAGTGTGACTGATTTGGTGTTGAGAAAGTACGGAATGTGTAGTGAAGGCTTTGCCACAGTCTTCACATTTGTATGGTTTTTCCCTCTTATGAGTCATCTGGTGTTGTGTGAGGTTCCTACTTCTTTTGAAGGCTTTGCCACACTCCTGACATTGGTAGGGCCTTGCAGCAGTATGAATGACATGGTGTTGGGAGAGGATGGAGCGGTATTTAAAGGCTTTGCCACAGTCTTTACATTTGTAGGGCAAATGACAATCAGAAGCAGAATCATCAACGAAAGCTTTGCCATGTTCTTCATGTCTCAATGGCTCCTCTCCACTGTGCGCACACTGACGGATGGTACATTCTGCATGATCAAAGGCTTTTGTGGAGTCATTACAGTCGCACAGATTTTCTGGGGAGAAAAGAAGACATACAATTTTAACTGTGGGGAATGGAGAGGTTCTGTTTGCTGTCCTGCTGTCTGGAGGACATGTCTGCTTGCCATGGTATTGAGGTCAGATTCAGAAACAATTCACCTTAGCATAGTAAATGAGGTGATTTGTTAGTTTGATTTTTTTGCAGGTGTTTCTTCTCATTATACCCTAGGCTCTTCGCAAGAGCAGGACAAAAAAAAAAAAAAAACCATTTCTTCCTAAATATGATAGGGAGAAGATGCAGGAATTTTGACCTTGACAATTTGCATTAAAGAAAGATAGAAATGTAGCAGGCTTTCAAATACCAACCAACCCTTACTTGACTCCAAATTTTTTTTACACCAGAGCAAAACCCTTCAAATATCAAAAATGTGGCAAAGGCTTCAATACCAGTTTGATTCTGAACTGACACCAGAGTTCACCTAGGAGAGAAGCTCCACACGCAACAATGAATGTGAAGGCTAGTAAGCACTTTACAGCCGGAATGCAGCAACTGTGCACAACAAAGAACCCATTGCTGGCTGAGACCAAGAGCCACGGCATCTCATAACAGTGCTAAGAAAACTGTACATTTGAGTAAATGTCCACATCACATCTGGAAAAATAACTTTCCTCTTAAATGAAATTTGGGTAATTCTTAAGACACAACTGTTCCATGCTTTTATTAGGAACCTGAACAATTGAAATGTAGCTGGACCGAACTTTGAACTAAATATTCCTTTAGAAAAGAGATTTTAGAGTCTGGAGAGATGGCTCAGTGGTTAAGAGCACTGATTGCTCTTCCAGAGGACTCAGGTTCAATTCCCAACACCCACATGGCAGCTCACAACTGTCTGAAAATACAGTTCCACAAGATCTGACACCTTCACACCAATGCACATAAAATAAAGTTAAATAAATCATTTTTTAAAATTAAAAAAAAAGATTTTAGGAATGAAGAACATGCTGTAAAGTGGGATTGTCTTTTTGGAAGGGCTCATTACTCTGTCACCAGCAAATATGTTTTCTCTGTACCAAAATACACCCCTTTAATAAATGCAGTAATTGGTTGTTGTTTGGTTGGTTGTGGTTTGTTTTGAGACAAGGTTTCACTGGATAACCCAGGCTATCCTGGCACTTGGTACGGAGCCAATGCTCACCTTGAACTTACCATGATCTTTCTGCTTCATCCTCCAACACGTTGATCTTACAGGTGTGGGCTCCTGCACTCAGTTAACCACCCGTCAATTTCTTTTCTACATCCAAATCCAGACACAGATACTTAAGAATCCAGTACATGTGTAATCAACATAGGAAGACCATTATTGAGGCTGGGAAATGACGTGTTGGAGAGAAAAATGCTTGTGTAATGAAATTCATAGCTTTTGCCAACTTGGAGTCAAGTAAAGGTTGGTTGGTGTTTGAAGGCCTGCTACATTTCTATCTTTCTTTAATTGTCAAGGTCATTATTTCTGCATCTTCTCCCTATCGTATTTTAGAAGAAATGGGTTTTTTGTCCTGCTCTTGTGAAGAGCTTAGGGTATAATGAGAAGAAACACCTGCAAAAAAATCAAAATAACAAATCACCTCAGTTACTACGCTTAGGTGAATTGTTTCTGAATCTGACCTCAATACCATGGCAAGCAGACATGTCCTCCAGACAGCAGGACAGCAAACAGAACCTCTCCATTTCCCCACAGGCTTCTGCTGAAAAGCCTGTTACTTCCTCGTCAGTCCCAGCTCTGCACCTCTGAAAACAGCATTCTACCAACACCCAAAACAAAAGCAGCTTCCCGCATCATCTGCTCTCTTGGGAGAGAAAAGGAGAACAAATGAATATACCTGTGAACTGTCTGACGGTTCCCTGATAGGGAATTCCAGTATCTCCTGCTCCTCAGTGCAGGAGATAACAGGTCTATTTTGGACAGCAGGTCAGAATGGAAACACTGAACCTAAACCTAAATGATCATTACAATATCAATAAGATGGGGCTGGAGAGATGGCTCAGAGATTAAGAGCACTGTCTGCTCTTCCAGAGGTCCTGAGTTCAATTCCCAGCAACCACATGGTTGCTCACAGCCATCTATAATGAGATCTGGTGCCCTCTTCTGGCCTGCAAGCAAACATGGAAGGAATGTTGTATACATAATAAATAAAGAAATTTTAAAAAAATCAACAAGATGGTATTACTTCAGATGGTCCACCATAGAAGAGGGGACTAGAGAATCTTTTTGTAATGAATGCATCTTTTTGTGTACAGGTATGCGTGTGTTGAGGGCGGTGCTTGCAGAGGCCAGAAGGGGGCAATGGAGCCTCCCAACCTGAACATTGGGAACCAAATTGGGGTCCTCCGCAAAAGTATGACTCGCTCTCAATGACAGACTTCCCTCTAGCCCAAGCCTAAGGAGTCCTAAGCAGAAACATGAGTAAGTGTTTCTAACAGACAGAAATAAAACCTACAGAAAACACAAAACGAAAATCTACTTGAATGACTAGTGAATTCTACATAGTTCAATGCCGTACCATCTGGATAGTCCCAGTCCACAGAAATGGCAACAGCTGACAGGTCTTTCCATGGCCATTGTCTGAATTTGTTATTTGTGTACGTAAAGGTTATGCATCTGGGGTGGAGAGGTGACCCGACAGTTTCAAGCATGCATAGCTCTTCCAGAGGACCCAGGTTCAGTTCCCAGTACCCACATGGCAGGCAGCTCACAACAATCTGTAGGTCCAGCTCCAGAGGCTCCTGAAAAGTCATCCCCACTGAAACAGGGCTTCTCAATCCCCACCTGAAAGCGTGACTTCTTCCTGTGTCATTCCTACCGACCTGGGCACATGGTTCCTGGCTCTTGTATCTTCACATTCCAAGGCGCCTGTCTCTGCTCCAGCGATGAGACCAGGTAAGGCTTACACACAGCGAGACCTGTTTATTACAAATTAGAGAACAATGTTCAGTTACGAGTCTCCTAATAAGTAATAACATTTCTCTGACCATACTTTGCTAGGCGAAAAGAAGAAACATAAGAGGAGATTTCAGGAAATGATTCCTGATTATTCCCTGCCATACACATTAGAATATGTCTGCTGGGTGGTGGAGGCTCACACCTCTTATCCCAGCACTTGGGAGGCAAAGACAGGCAAATCTCCGGGTTCAAGGCCAGACTGGTCTATAGAGTGAGTTCCAGGCCAACCAAGGCTACTCAGAGGAAAAAAAAAATATGTGTGAGGGATTTTCAACCTGGAGAAGCTGAACTTCAGTTGCACACGTGACCAGTTCGGAGCAAATGGGTTTGAAGACATAGCCACGATGCTTTGTGCCGGCAACTTTCTGGAGTTACCACTGGTCTAGAGCGCTGGGTTCAACCTTCCTAATGCTGAGACCCTTTAACACAGTTCCTCCGGTTGTGCTGACCCCAACCAGAACATCATTTGTGTTGCTCCTTTGTAACTGTAATTCTGCTGCTGTGACGATTGTGATGTAAACATCTGCTACGCAGGAAATGTGATGTGTGACCCTGTGACCCTGGGGGGGGGGGGTCAAACCCACAGGTTGAGAATCACTGCTCTAGCACGAAGAAGAAACACTTCCTCAAGAAAGGAGATTTCAAAATAAATACAATTAAAATGATCTTCTCCAGACCATCAAACCTCTAAATATTTCTCTTATGTGTAGGAATGCCAACTGCCTTCATACAAAACAGAAGCCCTTGAGACACAGGCTACAGAGAAGGGAAATCAGATGTTGAGAGGGAGCTAAGAATTCTGTAGATGAGAGATCCTCACCCAGGGAGACAAGGTTCCTGTAATTCTCCAACATCACACCCCTATACAAATTCCACCGAGCAGGGTCTAGGCATTCCCGCTCCTCTGGGGAGAAGTCAATGGACACATCCTCGAATGAGAGCAGCTCCTGAAATAAAAGTCAACAGCACAAAGAACTAAACAAAAGAAAACAAAGAACCCAATCAATGGGCTAAGGAACTCAACAGAGAGAACGCTCTCCAAAGAAGACCAACACATGGTCAATGAATGCTTTTAAAATGGTTCCATGTCCTTAGCCATCAAGGATATGCAAGTTTAGTCCTTTGAGACTCCTTCTCACCACAGTCAGAATGGGTATAATCAAGAGAACAAGAGCCAGTGATGACGTGGTGCAAGGAGATCACCTGGTCACTGCTGCTGGGACTGTCAACTGTATAACCACTATGGCAATCAGTGTGGAGGCTTCTCAGACAGCTAAGAATAGACCACCACATGTCCCAGCATAACCATACAGAGACCCTTGCTCATCTCTGACCATGGATGCTCTATCCCAAGAGCCAGGCAATGGATCCGCCTAGATGCCCACCAGCTGAAGAGTATACAATGACAAGGTGATGCGTATACACAGGGGTATTTTACTCAGTTGTAAAGACAATGAAATTCGCAGGGAGATGGATGGAATTGAGAAACATTATACTGAGGCCCAGAAAGACAAACACCACTTGTTTTCTCCAGGATACTACCCTAGCTCTGAATTTTCAGATCTGTCACTTCACTTGGGGTGTTTGTGGAGGTCAGGAAACTAGATAGAGGCCACCAAATTGGATGAGGCCTTAAGAACACATGGGACACGAAAGTAGCAGGGGATACAGGGACAGCACCTCCCCTAGTGGGCTGGGCCTTCCACATCAATCATCAACCAAGAAAATGCCCCAAGCTTGCCTACAGGCCTATCTGATGGGGGCATTTTCTCAACTGGAGTTCCAGCTTCTCAGACAACTCTTGTTTGTGCCAAGTTGACAAAAACAAAACCACCTATCTAACCAGGGCACTGTGTTCTGATTCACAAGTGGTACTGTCAGAGCTGGAGAGGTAGCTCAGCAGTTACTGCTCCCTACAGAGGGTAAAGGCACTTTTGGCCATGATTGACAATTTGGATTCCATCCTCAGGACCCACAAGGCAGGAGAGAACCAACCCCTACAGGTTGTCCTCTGACCTCAAGCATGCTGTAGTACACACACACACATTTCTTCATGTTTAAATACACACACACATGCATGCACACACTCAAACAGACACAAATTAAATGTTATTTTAAAACTTTAAACTTAAGGGGGTAAAAGGATTCTAAAATTTATACAGAAAGGCAAATATCCAGAATAGTCAGCACACCGCTGAAAAGTAAGCTCCCCAGATGGCCACGTGCTAACTTTAGTGGATTCGGCAGGGGAGTGACAGGAGCTCCAGACTGCAGTGAGGAAGGATGAACATACACCCTAGGGCTGCCTCCTCAAGAGCTGTGAACTGAGACAGCTGTGGCCGAGAACAAACTAAGCATCTGGCAGATGCTGCTCACTCTTCAGTATGGCTTCTTGTGAGAAGTTCCCATACCCCACACCACCCCAGAGAAACTCAGAGAAGGCCCGAGATGCCAGCAGAAACCATTTATATCATGTCTTAATAGCTTTAAAAGCCAGCTCTTCTTCCTGCCACCCACAATGACCAGCAGCAACCACACAGCTATTTGACCCACACCTTTGGTGTTTAAGCTCACCTGAAGTTGAGGCTACTACTTACTAAAGCATATCATAGCTGACTCGTTATACCTAATGAGAAAACCTTTACCCTGGGAAAGCACAAAAAGTGAACCAATTAAAGGCCATTTTCAGTACACAGATGTCACCATAAGTCCTTGTTATAGAGCCATTTCCTTCTCAATAAGTAGTGCTGAGTAACCACATAAACAGAATGCACTTAAATGCAAATTCCTAGTTCACACTGAGGTTCCTAGTTCACAGAAACTACAGAACTACGTGACGACCCACAGTATGTACTGTCTAGAGCTAGCAATAGCCTCAAGAACAAAAACTAAGTGCCAAGGATTCATAAGGTAAAACAGGGAACTTAAGGAAGGGAGATGGCTCAGTGGGTAAACACTAACACTCATGGAAAAGCCAAGTTGTCCTAAGGACCCCTGAGATGGTTTGAGAGAAAACAGCCCACAAAGTGAGTGCCACTATTAGGAGGTGTGGTCCTACAGGAGTAGGTGTGGCCTTGCTGGAGGAAGTGGGTCACTGTGGAGGTGGGTTTTGAGGTCTCTTTTGCTCAAGCTTCCCTAAGTGCGACACTGAGAACACTTCCTGTTGCCTGCACAATGTGCAGGAATCTCAGCTCCCTCTCCAGCACTATGTCACACAGTGCTGCCATGTCACACAATGGCGATGGGCTAAACCTCTAAAAATGTATGCCGCCCCAATGAAGTGTTTCCCTTTACAAGAGTTGCCGTGGTCATGGTGTCTCTTCACAACAATAGACCCTAACTAAGACAGCCTGCTTGGAATCACAAGTCTCAGGAGACAGACAGGGATATCTTTGGAGAAAGGCAGCTAGCTTAACTCAACAAACCAGCACACGCTGGGTTCAAGTGAGAGTCACTGTCTTAATGTGTAAGATGGGAAACAATTGAGGAAAAACCTGCCACCAGCATCTGGCCTCTACACACATGCACTCATATGTGCATGCACACCCATGCCCACACACAAATGTGCACCACACACCCGAATATGCATATATAGTGTGTGCACACAAAAATAAATAAAAATCAAAGAAAGAAATGGAGACACCTGAGTGCATCCATTTCAAAGCTGAAAACACAAATAAGAATCACAAAGCAATGGAAAGTAAGAAATCACAATAAAAATAGGCAACTTTACTAACAACTTAACATTATAAACATTAAGATAAAAGAGAGGCAGGGTTACCAGATGCAAAGATAGCAGAAGTCCCCAAAACCTACTCCCCCAACATTCTATGCTTTTATATGAAAAGTGAAAAGATGCTGAAACTCTATCAAAAGATCAGAAGCATAGCCTGTGGCACGTGCCTGTGACCCCAGGAGGGTCAAATAAGAGGACTGTGACACAGGGGCCAGCCTACGCCACATGGCACATTCTGAAACAGGTAGGACAGAAAAATAAAACTCCGCCATGACACATGGAAAATGAACAAGATGTGAGTTAGGTCTGCGCTTCACGGTTGTTTTCACTTCACGGAATGACTTTGGGGCCGGGGATGCAGCACCCGTCTCATAAGCATGATGCCCAAGGTTCAACCCCCATTGCTACCAAAAAAAAATTTTAAGCCCTAACTTTACAAGATGATAGTTTAAGAAGCAATGGGCAATCATAACCACCCTAGTGTTCTCACAACCAAAAAATAGAGGCTTTTTTTGTGTGTGCTTTGCATCTGCAGACTCACACAGTACAAAATGATAAAAAAGTACTGTGGGAAAATCTAGCTTAGCACATACTTGTTATTATTCTCTAACAGTGCAAAAAAATTGAATAGTTATGTAGTATTTATATTATAGCAAGTATTGTGAGAAATCTAAGATAAAGTATACTAGAAGATGTCTGTAAATTACCTGCAAATGCTATCATCATACACAGACTATTGGAATAGCTGCAGACTGTGGGTACCAAAAGGTGAGATGAGTCTCTACCATGTCTACTTCAACTGTCAATTTGCTAACCAATAAAAATTACATTAGTTTAGTGGGTTTCCTGACTGCTCACTGTATATGAGACTTTACTTTTAGAAAATAAACCAGAATACCAGAAACACAGGAAGGACCAAAGACAAACTGTCAACTTAAGGGAGCTTTAACGTATTGTATTAGTTAGGTTTCCCTAGAAGAACAGACCCGATAGAATGAATATGAGAAAGGGGATATATAATCACAGGAGAGCATAGACGACTCCCACAACATGATAGGCTACTGCTATTATCCTTACTGCAGAAGACAATGTGTACTTCAGACACAGGACCCAGAGGATCGGATCTTAAAGACCCCTCCCAGAGGACTACTTTCATGGTACCAGAAGGTGCCATGAAAGTTTCTAAAGAAGAGAAGCAACCAAAAGTGCTACCCAGCTATGACGCCTATGAACAATACCAACAACCAGAATGGCATAACACATATAATAAATAGCTTGGAGGTAACTAACATCTCTCTTAACCGGATTCAATTCTTGCTAACCAAGAAGGAAATCATGCCTGCTACTGGACACCTAGCCAAGTACCCATGGGTCTAAACATTCACCCCTATATTCATAGATAAGTGCAGCCCTCTCCCCTCATCGAAGAAAATTCTTATAGCAGGATACAAGATTAATTTTAAAAAAATCAGTAGCCCTCTCATATACAGATGATAAGCGTGCTGAGAAAGAAATCAGAGAAACATGATCCTTTACAGTAGCCACAAATAACATAAAATATCTTGGGGTAACTCTATTCAAACAAGTGCAGGATCTGAGGGGGCCTGGTTCCCCCTGTGCAGCCCAAGCTGTCCCTGAACTCAATCCCTCATGCAGCATCTCAACTACTAAAAATACAGGCATGTACAACTACACACAAATATGACCAATCATCTCAAAGCGCATGTGGTGATAGAAATGACCAGGGGATCAGTAAGTCGAGGAAGATAAATACTACAAAAAGATGAGATTTGGGATCTTTTAGGTTTTCATTGGAACAGGGCATTCTTAAACTTCATGGAGTTTACTCAATGGTTACTAGTCTCATTCTCGAATGAGAAGATGTTCAGCCTATACAAAAGCACATTTGAAATTTGCTGACATAGTCACAGAACACAATAGAGACCTAGTCTACAAGTGGGCCCAGAGATGGCAGGATATGTTTTTGCAAAGAAGAGAATACTGAAACTCACAATCTGGTGATATATCTATAATGGGTACCTACTGCCTTGATGTCAGACATGAAAAAAAAAAAAAAAACCCCGAGTGACCCTGAGTTTCCATCTTTTATTCAAGGGACTATATATGAACTCCCAAGCTTTGGGAGCAAAGAAGATGAAAATCTCCCTAGACCTCAGGCAGCGGGTAACTAGATGTATAAACACATCCATGGGGTGGTCATAAGTGCAGAAAAGGGGTTTTTAAAAAAAAAAGGTCCTTACAGTCCTAGAAATCATTTATATGCTTCCAGGAGCTGCATAAAAGCATAGGTTCTAATTATTTGCAACAGCAATTTAACACAGCTTTTGGAAGAGCTGTTACAAAAGAGATAACCAGTTGTCTGAAGGCATCAGCAAAAGCAAGGAAATTTCTAAACCAGCCTGGGCTACATGAAGCCCACTAGAAAAAAAAAAAAAGAAGAAGTGGGGAAGAGAGGAACATAAACACAGGGGAAGGGGAGAGGGCAATCCTCTGAAACTATTGGAGATGACAAATTTACTATGGGGATCTTTTTAATAATGTGAAAGCTCTTTTTAAAAAAAGTTAAAATTGACTTACTGTATGATCCAAACAAAAATCACAATACAGAGTAAGAATACCAGGATGAGGACATTGTTATATTACAGTAGTCAGTGTGTGTATGGAAATGCAGTGCCTTCATATAAAAAATACCAGAGGTCCCCCTCATCCCCTTGAGATCCGGCTGCTCCCCTTAAAGGCTGCATGCCCACAGATCCACCCTAGGACAGAATCCGTGGACTCCCCTTTACTATACAATCCCTGAGACAGGGCTGGGAGCACCTAGTACCAGCACTTGCTGTCAGGAAGTATTGGAATCCAGTACCAAAAAAAAAAAAAAAAAAAAAAAATTGGAGAAAATGAAGACACACCTGAAAGTCAGCCAGGGGGAAGCTCAACCCAAAGATAGCATGATAAAGTGTCTGTGCTTAGAGAAGATAAGCGAAGTGTGACATGAAAAGTCTTATCGGGGTCTACTAACTGTCCTGTGCTTTCTGCTCCAGCACAACGTTCACGAACACAAACCAAGTCCTTTCAAATTCGCCACTGGATGTGGCAGGGGGCGGATAAAAAGCACAGAGTCTGTTTGAAATCTACGCGGGGACAGTTTAGTGGGAGACAGGAAGCTGGCGTGGGAAATACTTGGGAATTTACTGTCCTGAATGGATGCGGCTCATAGATTAGGATGCTCAGAAAGGGGCTCAGCCCCGCGCTCCTGTCAGGCAGGACCCGCACACACGGAGTCGGGTTGGCCCCACGATCCTGCCATCCGGCTGCCTGCCCTCGCTGATAGCCGACAAGGCTGCCCCAGAATGAATCGACCCGCGACTCCCGCTGACCCCGAACGGCTGCAGGAGCCGCACAGCCCTGGCTACCAGGAGGCCGGGCCCCGACTTACCATGTCCGGATTCCGGAACCAGTTGTGTCCGCGGTGTCCCATTCCGGCGTGTCCGGGCTCGCGGGTTCCTCAGCGTACCGTTCCGGGGTCTCCGGGTTCCCGTTCTGGAGACCCGGTCCAGCATGTCCGATTCTGCGGGGTTTAGGAGTGATGAGGTCACTGACTGATCAGCAAGAGCGAGGCCCGGAAGTGCAGACTGGAAACGGACTCCACCTTGGCGGATCCCACACAAAGCTAGAGAGGCTGAAGCCCATCTCAGTCTAGTGGCACTGGATGGAGAGCGTTTCTGGGCTCCCCAGAGCCTTACTGACTGTGTTAATACCACTTGTAGGCTGAGTAAGGACAAAACGGCAGGTCTTTGCTGCACAGGTTTTTATTTTAAAGATTTATTTTATTTTTAAATATTTTTAGCAATCCTGAGAATTTTGTACAATGTATTTTGACTAACTTGTGTGTATTTTGCATTCCCTTGTAGTTGATTCAAATCCCTATTAAATATCAGGCATTTGCAGATTGTAATTTTCACTTCTAGCCTTGTGATAAGCAACTGGCATGTTGACATGATGTCCACTTTTTTTTTCCTCGAAAGAATACTCTGATGAATACAGAATCTTTTTAAATACAGAATCTTATACTGACATTCTTTTTCTCTGAATTAAAAGATGTAACTTATTTTTTGTTGTTTGTTTTTCCTTTTTCTTTTCTTTTCTTTCTTTCTTTCTTTTTTTTCTTGTTTGTCTTTCAAGACGGGATTTCTCTGTGTATCCCTGGATGTCCTGGAACTCACTCTGTGGATCAGTCTGGTCTTTGCCTCCTAACAGTGCTGGGATTAGAGGCATACGCCACCACATCCACCTTCATTTTTAAATTTCCACTCTTGATTACACATTGCTCTAACAAGATCATGCTTTTCTATATAGGTATTCATTTTGCGTCTTTCTTAATTTTCAGGTATTCTTTGGATCGTACCAGTTTGACTATGGTGTGTGTTTTAGGGTTAAAGTTGCTGTGATAAACGCCATGTCCAGAGCAACCTGAGGAGGAAAGGGGGAAATTAACTTATGCTTCCACATCCCTGTTCATCACTGAAGGAAGTCAGGACAGGAACTCAAGCAGGGCAGGAACCTGGAGGCAGGAGCTGATGCAGAGGCCGTGGAGGATGCTGATTACTGACTTGCTCAGCCTGCTTTCCTATAGAATCCAGGACAACCACCCAGAATGGGTTGAGCCCTCCCCCAGCGATCCCTAAAGAAAATGTCCCACAGCATTGCCTGTACCCGAGTCATATGGAGGATTTTCTTAATTATGGTTCCCTCTTCTCAGATAGCTCCACATTGTGTGAAACTGACCAACAAAGAATAAAGAAGAGGAGGAAGATGGTGGTGACAGCCCAGTGCGCTTTGGGGAATTTCAAATCCTAAGTCAAACAGATCAGCTTTCAGGGAGAAAGACAAGCTGACTGGAAATGAAAGCCTCTTAATGAGGTGCAGATTAAGACTGAATTACTGAGAGATGATGTACAGAGAAGTAAAGTCACATAAATAATGGCTCTCAAGGAGGTAAATAAGGCAGGATAGGATGCCAAAAATTTATACTACAGATCACTAAACCCATTTGCACAACCTCCTGAAATGTCATGGGGTATCCACCAGAGAAGACTATTTGGATGTGGGTTTGAGCCAATAGAAAGTTTTTGTTAGCCAGTCAATGATCACACTGGCTGTTTAGGATCCCAGTGTTGCCCTGAGCCTTTCTCGGGGTGAGCTTTCAAGCACAAAAACCATTGCCTGGGTTGACATACTTCAGATGCAAGAACACTTAGCCAAAAGCAGAACCACAGAAAGCAAAAACCAAGGTTAGTACATTTAAAGACTTTCCTGAACTATGGATTTTTGTGCATTAGGCCTTTTTTTGTTTGTTTGTTTGTTTGTTTTTGTTTTGCCTAGTGGTGCTGCCTGTGTGTTCAGTTTTCAGGCTTGCATGGTACTTCCATCATGGAGTCAGTTGTGTTAAGCTCTGGGAGCCTGGGGCTGGAGAGATGGCTCAGAGGATAAGAGCACTGAATGCTCTTCCAAAGGTTCTAAGTTCAATTCCCAGCACCCACATGATGGCTTATAACCATCCAGAATGAGATCGGTGCCCTCTTCTGACATGTAGGCGTATATACAGGCATAACATAATAAAAATAAATAAATAAATGTTTAAAAAAAGTTCTGGGAGCCTGTTACAAAAGGATCACTGCTTACTGGCTTGCTTTCCAATGTTTGCTCAACTACTATTCTTAGGCCCACCTCCCTAGGAATGGCACTACCTGCCTACAAATGGCGCCACCAGAAGTGGGCTGGGTCCTCTAGATCAATTAGCAATTAGGCCAAGCTCATAGAGGCTATTTGCCAATTGAGGTTCCCACTCCCAAAATGACTCTGAATTGTGTCAAACTGACAGGTTAAGCTAACTATGACACTAATTGTCTTAGTTACTTTTCTATTGCTGTGATAAAACACCATGACCAAGGCAGCTTACAGAAGCAGAGTTTATCTGGGGCTTACAGTTACAAAAGGATATCATCCATCACAATCATGGCGGGGATCATGCCAGCAGTCAGGCAGGCTTAGTGCTGGAGCAGCCGCTGAGAACTCATATAGGAGTATACAAACAAGGAGCAGAAGCACACTGAATGACCCACGTCTTTTGAAAGCTCAAAGCCTGTCACCCCAGCGACACCTTCTTCAAACAAGGCCACATTCCTTAATCTTTCCCAAACAGCCACCAACCAGAGACCCGAGTATTCAAAAGCCAGAGACTTATGGAATACATGTCATTCAAACCACCACAGCCATGGTGTTTTACCACAAGAGAAGAGTAAGAGACAGAAGTTGATACCAAGAGTGGGGTCTGCCATTAAGAAACTGACAATGTTGGGTTTTGGAGAGATGTGGAGGGCTTTGAGATTTTGGACTAGAAGACTGGATGAACACTGAAAGCAGAGCTTCATGAACCATCTTAGCAGGAGAAAATAGTTACGAGAGATATGTGGGCTACGGAGGCCGGGGTCAAGAGGTTTCACAGGGGAATAAAGCAACTGGGTTTACATTCTTGTGATATTTTTACATATGATATGGCTGTTTTCTACCCTGGTCCCAAGAATTTGCTGGATTGATTTCTTTGGTGGATATTTCAAGACAGTCTAATACTGACTGTTACATGGTGGTCACTCTTATGAAGGTCTATACTGAGAAATACCAGATGGGAATTTTTAGATGAAATAAACCCTTTCTTCCCTAAGTTGCTTTTGGTCATGGGATTTTGTGATATCAATAGAAACCTAATCAGACAGACACCTTTGTACCTGGGATCTGGAAAGTCTGAGCTCAGGTCCTCATCCATGCCAACCCAAGCACTTTAACCACAGCATCACCATCATAGCCCCACGTCTCAGTCCTGAATCAGAGCCAAGGGGCTTCCGGTCTTTTCACTGGTGATGCTGGCACAACAGCAGATATGGTGAAGATGGCCATGTTGGATTTCAGGACTAAAGCTAAAGTCAGGCCGCACGAGGAAACATGGGTTAGCACTGCAAAATATGCCTCATGTGCATTATGAGTTTGACTTTTAATTTATAGTTTTTATTAGTATTTTGAAGGTGTACAGTGTGTGTGCATGGCTCTCCATGCCAAGATATGTGTGTGGGGGTTAGATGACAACCTTCCAGGTGATTCCATCCTGAAACTTTTGCAGAGGTTCTGGGAAGCAAACTCAGTTTACACCTGTACCTCCAGATCAATCGTGCTGTTCCCTGAGCTTATTCTTGGTCCTCACATCCTTGACCATGGCCAGATTGTCCCCAACCCCCACACTCTCCTATGCAACCAGTGTATACGATTGCAGTCGAAACACCAAGAAGCCCTGGTGTATGTGTCTGGTGTATTTCAGTTCGAAGGGCTGTTTCCCAGAGTTCCTAAGGAAGAAATGACAAAGCACTAGTGCACTCATAAAAGATGACATTTCCTGAGCCACGGGTCAAAAAGCATAAATTATATGACCTCACTGGAGGAAAAACTTAAGGGTTGTTGTTGCTGCCGCTGTTGTTTTGGAGGTAGCATTATTCCCTTAGTGTGTCGTGCACATCGTTCATCTGAAGAAAAAAAAAACATACTAGGTGTGGAGGATATTCACTCAACCCAGGGCCCTTTCCAGATGCAGTCAATAACAAAAGAACTATGGTGTTATCTGAGCATCTGTCAGAACAAGAGAGTCAGCTCTAGCAGCATGCATGACAGGATAGAGCACAGCCCTGCTCCCCTCTCAGCTTGAGCGAGGCCAAGCAGCAAAAGCTGCCCGTGGGGAGCCTAGCAGATGGGAAGATACATAGTAGCCCTGCAGCAGTAGCAACACTCTGGGAGGAAGCTGAATGGCCTCTGTAGGATTGTGTAGGACTAGGACATAGTGTCTCTGACACATTCTTCTGTACCTAGTGCTGAGAGGTGGCAAAGAAGGCTGTTGGGGACTCAGTGCACAACTAATCTAACCAATTGGTAAGCATCAGATGGAGACCAATAGAGGAAGAAAGAATCAACCTTTGGCTTCCACATACACATAGAGGAGTTTACACACACACACACACACACACACACTCACCATAGAAACACACAAATAAGCTGGGCAGTGATGGCGCACGCCTTTAATCCCAGCACTCGGGAGGCAAAGACAAGCCGATCTCTGAGTTCCAGACCAGTCTGGTTTAGAAAAAGAGTTCCAGGTCAGCGAGGGCTGCACAAAGAAACCCTTTCTCAAAAAAGAAACTGCAAACATGTATTGATAAAGAAGTGAAGAAAAAGGATCATTTATACAATGTTGATGGAGATGTAAATTAGGACAGTCATTGTGCAGAATAGTACAAATGGTCTTCAACAGGCAAAAGAATGCCACTGTCATCCAGTAAGCACAGTACTGGGTGTAGACTGAAAGGGAGTGAAAGATCATGTTGAATACAAATGTGTGTACTCCTATAATCACTGCAGTGCTATTTGCAGTAGCTAAGATATGGGAACAAAGTATCCATCAACAATGAATCATAGAGTGGTGTGGGAAGTCCTTCTGTATATGTGTTTCTTTTATTGGTTAATGAATAAAGCTATTTTGGCCAGTGGCTTAGCAAACTAGATCAAGGCAGGAATTCCAAGCAGATAGAGGAGGAAAGAAGGCGGAGTCAGGTAGAAGCCATGTAGCTGCCACAGGAGAGAGACGCTGGATACCAGATGGGACCTTACAGGTAGGCCACAGCCACATGGCAAAACACAGATTAATGGAAATGGGTTAATTTAAGATATAAGAGCTAGCTAGCAATACGCTTAAGTGATTGGACAAGCAGTGTTTTAATTAACAGTTTCTGTGTGGTTATTTTGGGTCTGGGCATCCAGGAAAATGAACAAGCAGTCTCCATCTAGGACAAACACTAGACGAACAAACTCAAACACTATTCGCTAAAACGTAAATTCCTTGATTTGCAACATGAATGACCTCAAAGGATAACACATAGAGAAAGCACCATA